CCCCTCTTGGTCTACACTGCCCCCCCTCACTTTATAAGACCCCCGTTCCCATACTGACATGCTCAAGGAGAACCAGGGGTCCAGGCTGTTCGGGAAGTCCTGCTTGTACTCAGCATCATTTTATGCGTCCATCTCAGGTGTCCACTTCCAGGAGGACATTCGGTCATTTCTTTTCTGGACCCCAGGCCACAGGGAGTAATACATCTTCCCATACCTCCAGCTCCAACCCTCCGAGCCCCATCCTTCACAGTAACCCCACAGACAAAGTAGGATGGTCAACACTCTGCCCAGGAGGGCTTCCAAGCCCACCCCAATGTGGTCCCAAATAAAAAGATGGCCAGGACTCACCCCATCTCTGAGCTGCAGCAAGGGATCTATGTGCCTGCTCCTGGAAGTGGGCACACCCCCTCTCCGGCCTGGGACTGTCCGGGGAGCAGTCTCTGGTTGGGATGCTTCTGCTCCCTCCTCCCTCTGCTCTCCTCCTGCCAATGAGCTCATCTGTCTGGGGCTCCCCCTCCCCCTCCCCCTTTGCCTGAAAGGATATTTGGACAGAACCTGGCAGAAAACAGAAAATGAGGAAGGATGGAATGGAAGAGGTGATGTCTACCTGCCTGTGCCCAGAGCCCCCAGAAAGTAGAGCTAGGTGCAAAGAGATGAAGTCTTTTCTGTGGGTCAGGAAGAATTTATCTTCCTGATAACTTGCTGATGCCCCCAGAGGCTCTGGGGAGCCAGGATGGAGGCTGAAGTAGCCAAGGCAGCACCCCCATCCCTGGCTGAACTGCCAGCCACGTGTCTGCCCTGCGGCTGGTTTGGTGCATGCTGCTTGTTAACCCCCTCAGCACCTGCCGAACTTCAGTGGATGTTGTGTGTGTGTGTGTGGGGGGGCATCCCACGCTATAGGAGAGGGTGGTGAGTGAGCAGCAAGGGGCAGAGAGCAGATCTAGGTTGTGCCCAAACACTGGGCCAGGTAATGGCTGGCGGGGTGGGGGTGGGGCGCTGCCCAACCCCCAGACTCTGAGTAGCAGAGGAGTTTGTGCGCTTTAAGCTTTAATGCAGAGAATCTCGTGCCTGAAGTTCCCTGGTCCAGAGGCTGGGAATCTGTTTACAAGCGGAAGGGGAGATGGGGATACAGATGCAGCTCCCAGGTCCCAGAGGAGCTGTGAAGTGTGGGTGTGGGGCAAGATCCCTGCGGAGCCTAAGTCCTTTGGCCCCTAGAGCCGAGTCAGCGCGCCACCGAGTGCCTCCTTTACCTGCAGTGCCCTGGCAGGAGCGCGAGGATTTCTGGGAGAGGAGGCGGTAGAGGGAGGAGGCTGGCAAGGGCAATAGGGGAGGGGGGGATGAGGGGGAGGGCTCCCTGCCAGGCTCCCATGCTTAAGAGGAACTCCTCTCAAAATAGCCCAGGAGACCTCAGCCAGCCCTCCAGTTCCCTTCCTCCCTGCTGGGGTCTGTGCTGGCTGGCTGGCTGGGAACCGACAGGAGAACAGCATCTTCCTGTCCTGGTCACCTGTAGGTGACCCCGCAGCATGAGCGAGGGCCTGCTGGTGTAAGAGCAGCTCTGAGGCTGGGCTTTGCCCTCACTGCTGCCCATCCCTGCTTCCTGATCCACGGACTTCTCTTTCCTTCCTAGCTCTGGTCACTTAGTGCAAGGAAGTGCTTGGCTTGATCTGGGAGAAAACTGTTGGGCTGACCATTTCAAAGAGCCTCCCTGTCCCTGAGGAAATGGCTTCCTCCCTCTTAAACCCAGACTCTGTCTGCGCCAGCCTGGGAGTGGACCTTTCTCTGGCAGCCCCCTCAGCAAAGGCGCACACCATCTCTACCCCTCAACACTTGCTCTTCCGAGCCAAGCCACCTAGACCGGAGTATATCACCCTAGCCCCAGGAATCAGGCCAGTCTGGCCCCAAGAGAAGTGGGGGTAGGGGTGGGTGGGAGTGAGGGGTGGAGCTCTGTCCCCAGACCCTCTCCCTGCCCTTCCTGTAGGGACATTCAGTAGAGAAGGGGAAAGATCTAAGGCAGTGTCCCTTAAGTCCAAGTCCTCTGGTAACAAGAGGCACAGTGACCCACGCAAGGAGGAGCTGAACTCCAGAGAAGACCTTTGCCCTTCGTCCCCCCCTGGCCTCCCCCACAGGAGCCACCAAGCTCCAGCACTGGCCTGGGTTTCTGAGCATTTGTGAAGAAGATGCTTTATACACATGAAAGTTCTCTAGCCATGAATGCATTCTGCCCCACTGGCGTTCTGTAGAGGAAGGCCAGGGCAGGGAGTGGGGGAAAGTTCCGGATCTGGCTTTACCAGTAACTTTCTGGGTGACCTTGGCTCTACACCTCCCCTTTCTCTGGCCCACCTCTATCTGTGAGTTTCTTCTAGACCCTTCTAGTTCTAAGAGTCAGTGAGCAGAGACAGCAAGGACAGAGGAAAGGACACTGGAGGGAACTGGCCATCTTGGGTGACCAGGGTCTAAAGATAACCCTGGAGCTCTGCTCCCCTCCCTCCCCCCCTTCTCTGAACTGGGGTCACTTTCCTTCCCTCTGGCTTACCTCCTCTTGCACCTCAGTCTACTGCTTGGGGAAATATGACCTGCTGTAAAAATAAAGCAGCAGGGTGGCTGCCTGGCCTTTGAGTAAAGGGTGGGGGGTGCCTGGGGGTACAGAGGCCAAACCTTAGGCCTGGAGATGGCTTCAACTTTGGAATCACTTTGAGCTCTAATGTGCAAAGTGGGCTCAAAGATGCTGGTGCCTCACACCTGTAATCCCAGCTACTCAGAAGGCTTAGATCTGAGGATCACGGTTCAAAGCCAGCCTAGGCCAGAATGTCTATGAGACTCTAATCTCCAAGGAAACAGAAAAAAACTGGAAGGTGTGGCTCGAGTGGTAGGACACCGGCCTTGAGTGAAAAAGCTAAGGAAGGGGACAGGGGCCTAGGCCCTGAGTGCAAGCCTCAGTACCAGCGCGAAATAAATTTAAAGAAAGAAAGAAAATTATACAGTGCTTACCCGGTCCCCAGCACTCTGCTAATCCTTCTATAATCTCATTCCATCTACAAAGTTCATCTACTTTTGATGCTGTTTTTGAGGCCTGAAGCCAGATTAAAAAAGGACCTGAACATATAGATCCTGTGTTTTAAATCTGGTTAGGTTGTTGAAATGTGTCTTTTATCCTGTCTTTGATGTTCTTTATGATGTCTTGAGAGGCCAGGCCCAAAATGGGGTTTTCAGACCTTGGGAGGGTCCCAGCTACCCCCTTTCTCCTCGGATCCTGTGTAGGGGGGCTCTGGTGCCTGCCCTGGGACCTCCAGCTAGGCCTACCGCCTGGAAGCAAGTGTCTTAGGTCACTTCCTGGGCCTCAGGAGCGTTCTTGGTGAGGCCCACTTTCCCATGGGCTCAGGGAAGAGACCTCTGGACACTGGGCAGGGAATTCCGGCATCCTGGGTGAGTCTAGAAGGCGAGGAAGTGCCTGCATCCTGCCATCCCCGGGTTGAGTGGTGAGTGGGGGGAGTATGCTGGAGGAGGGGCATGAGGCCTTCTTTCTACACACACCAGCCCAGGCCCCTGTTGTTGTAGTTGGGGGGGGGGGCAGACAGGAAGGGAATATCTGCTCTTGACAACTTTCAGAGGTGAACCGTGTTCACTCCCCGGGTACCAGGCAGTGGGGTGGGGTGGGGTGGGGGATGGACCAGAGATGTCTGCAGAAGGCGGTGTGGTGCTCAGGGTGTCCCCAGCAGCAGCTGGAGGAGCCCCAGAGCTGCGGGCCATCATGCTGGCATGGAAGAAGGCAACACAATGCCTCAGAAACCCACACTCTGCCTTTTGCATACAGCCTGCCCGGTCTCTAGGGAGAAACCTGGGGGGTGGGGTGGGAGGGAGGGAGAGAGGGAGGGCTGGGAGAGGGACTCGGGTTGGGTGGCCGCCACTTTGGCGGGTGCCTGCAGCCGGCGCCAGGCGAACCCCCAGGTTTAAATGGGTCTCCGCTGCAAAGGGAATGTGCCTCGGAGCGAGGCTGGGGTGCGCGCGCCGGGCGCGGGCCGCGGCGGTGCCGACCGACCTGGGCCAAGGCCCCCCCAGCCCTTATAACCGGGTTGTGACCCTGGGTTCCCGTGGAGCGCTGAGGATCGGGGTCTGAGGAAGCCTTTGACGGACAGTGGCTGTGGTGTCGGTGGGGACACGAGAAGTCGGGGTGCTGTGGGCGGACGAAGTGGGGCGATGGCCACGGGCCAGCTTCCTCCCCGGGACCACGGCGATGGTCGCGAAATCTAGGAAGACGTGGGGGAAGCGACCGAGCGGCTCGCCCCGGGATGCGGGGTGGCGGGGAAGCCC